GTTAAAGCAATAAATACGTATGTCATACCAGTACTTACATATTCTTTCGGAGTAGTCAAGTGGTCAGCTACAGATATTAATAAATTAGAAATTAAAATAAGAACCACTTTGACAAAATACAATTATCTACATCCAAAGTCAGCAATAGAACGTATGACTGTGCAAAGAAGTAAGGGCGGTAGAGGGGTGATAGACATTCGAGTTTTATGGGAAAAACAGATTCAAAATCTTAGAAATTTCTTTTATAGTAAGGCTGAAACTACTCAAATTCATTTAGCTACAGTAGAAACCGACACTAATTACACTCCACTTAATTTAAATAATAGAGACCGCGAATTCATTTCAAGTCAGTATTATGAAGCAGAAAAACTAACAAAATGGCGCAGCAAAGAGTTACATGGCAGACATATTCATGACCTCGAACAAAACCACATAGATCTACAAGCATCCAATCAGTGGCTAAAGCTAGGATACCTTTTTCCAGAGACAGAGGGCTTTATTATTGCCATACAAGATCAGGTAATTAATACGAGGAATTATAAAAAGTTCATTCTTAAAGATCCAACCTTAAAAAGTGATAAATGCCGGAAATGTCATCGCCAACCAGAAACCATACAACATATTACCAGTGCCTGTCCTAGCCTTACCCAAACGGATTATACTCATCGGCATAATCAGATAGCCCATATGATTCACCAAAAACTAGCCAGTAAACATAAATTAATACAAGATAAACCCCAGCCATACTATCAATATACACCAAAACCAGTCTTGGAGAACAACAATTACAAGATGTACTTTGATAGAGCAATATTAACTGATAAAACCATCCACAACAATAGACCGGACATAACCCTTATAGATAAAATAAATAAAATAACTTATTTAATTGATATTGCAGTTCCGAATACACACAATTTACAAAAAACTATAACAGAAAAAATACATAAATACACCGAATTAAAAGAAGAAGTTATTAGAATATGGAAAATGAATAAAGTATATATTGTACCGTTGGTGCTTTCCAGTACAGGAGTTATACCAAAGTATTTGCTGTATTCTCTCCGCGTTATAGATTTATCACCTAACACTTTCATAAGTATGCAAAAAGCCACTATTCTGAACACATGTCGCATAGTCCGAAAGTTTCTGCAAGACGATTCCCCTAATCAACAAACAATAACTAATGATGATTCTCACTTGGCGTAAGCCCGTGAGATTCATTACACCGAAATTATATATTTCGAGAAAAAGAAAAAGATAATAATAATAATAATAATGATTTTCAAACACTACACACTCAAATATACTGCGCAGCAGTGACAGCTTCTTTATTTAATGGGTCCAAAATCTCATATTCCAAGGAAAGAAAAACATCAACTCAAAATACTCCGAAATGGCAACAGCGATTAGAAAATAGAATAAATGATTTAAGAGTAAAAATTGGCCGACTCACTGATTATATTCAAGGTAATCGTAGTGAAATACTTAAAAAACATATCAATAAAGAAAAGTCGAATTATAAAATACACACACGCCATGAAATAGAAAACTCTACACTCACAGAATTTTTAGATACACTTAAACAAAAACTTAGTGCTCTAGCAAGCCGTTTACGTAGATACAAACAAACCACCTTAAGAAAATCGCAAAATAAGAAATTTAAATCCAATGAAAAAACATTCTATAGAAATTTATCACAGAAAAATCTTAACGATAATACTCAACATAATGTAAACACAGCTGATTCGCCTACCCCAGAAGATTTACATAAGTATTGGTCATCTATATGGTCTAATCCGGTTGAACATACGAAAAGCCAATGGGTGGATGAGCAAACACAATATTTACATGAACATGTAACTGAAATGAAATTTGAAGAAGTAAGTATAGATCTATTAAAATATGTTATTACAAAAACTCATAACTGGAAAGCTACTGGAACTGATCGAATACACAATTATTGGTACAAAAAATTAACTTCTATCCATACATATCTACTATTTCACATAAATAACTTTATAAAATCACCAAACACGCTGCCTTTGTTCGTCACACAAGGTATTACATACATGCTTCCTAAAGATCACACCGATAAACGTAATCCAGGTAAATATAGACCAATCACTTGTTTACAGACCATATATAAAATCATAACATCTTGTATCACAGAACAAATTTACAATCATATTGATAGCAATAATATAATAGTAGAACAGCAAAAAGGATGTCGCCGCAATAGTCAGGGCTGTAAAGAGCAACTTATAATTGATTACGTAATATCAAAACAGGCAATCAAGAAGAAAAGAAATATATATACTATGTATATTGATTATCAGAAGGCTTTCGATTCAGTCCCACATACATGGCTTATTCAAACCTTAGAAATACATAAAATACACCCAATTATTATAATTTTTTTTAAAAATAATATGCAAAACTGGACTACCCAATTAAAAATCACTAATCTAATAAACTCAATTGAAACAGAACCAATACATATACGCAGAGGGATATTTCAGGGAGATTCGCTTAGTCCCCTCTGGTTTTGCCTTTCTCTAAATCCCTTATCACTAATGTTAAATAAGAGTGGCAAAGGATATAAAATCACGCATAAAGACACCCAATATACTCTATCACATCTTATGTACATGGACGACATAAAACTTTACGCATCTAGTCATATAGGTAAACTTAAAAATACTTACAGATATTACAGAAATGTTTTCCACTGACATTCAAATGAGATTCGGTATAGATAAATGTAGGGTACAATCAGTACGAGGTGGACATATAGAACACAATAATTACCAGTTACGGACAGGAGAACTTATTGATCCAGTAGATGATGAAAATGGTTATAAATATTTAGGATATCAACAGACCCAACAAATACATCAAAAACAAACTAAATTACAGATATGTGAAAAATTTAAGATAAGATTACATAAAATTTTAAACACTCATTTGAACTCTCTCAACATCATAAAAGCTATTAATACATATGCAGTCCCTATACTAACTTACTCTTTTGGAATTATTAAGTGGTCGAAAACAGATTTACACAAACATCAGCGCACTATCAACACACTCATGACAAAGTACAGGAAACACCATCCTCGCTCGTGCATACAAAGACTCACTCTACCTAAATGTGAAGGAGGAAGAGGAATAATAGATATTAAAAATCTTCATAATAAGCAGATACGTTCACTCAGATCATTTTTCCACACTCGTTCACAACATTCACCACTTCATAAAATAATTACAGAATTAGATTGCAAATTAACACCATTAAATCTTAGTGATCCTTCGACACAACCAAATGAACTTGTGACACAACCTCAAGAAAAGTTAGAAGTATGGCTAGCAAAATCGCTTCATGGAAGACATCGTCGGGATCTTATTAATCCAATTGTTGACAAGACAGCGTCGAACGCCTGGTTGACGAAAGGTGAATTGTTTCCTGAAACGGAAGGATTTATGCTAGCCATACAAGACCAAGTTATAGAGACACGAAATTATAAAAAACATATCATTCACGATACTCAATCAGATATATGCCGACATTGTTACAGTGCCAGTGAAACTATACAACACATTACAGGTGCTTGCAAATCAATAACTCAAACAGATTATAAGCATCGACATGATCAGGTCGCATACATTATCCACCAATATTTAGCTAGAAAATTTAAACTTATTAATGAAAGCGTACCATATTATAAATATAAACCACTAGCAGTAATAGATACAGCTGATCATAAACTTTACTGGGATAGAACCATAATCACAGATAGAACAATTCATCATAATCGCCCAGACATAACACTTCTTGATAAGAAAAATAAAATAGTTTACCTTATTGATATTTGGATACCAAATACACATAACCTGGCAACCACATACACTGATAAAATTACAAAATATAGAGATTTATCAATAGAGCTCAAAACACAATGGCATATAAACACAGTCAAAACAATCCCAATCATTCTTTCAACCACTGGAGTCATACCAGTCACGCTACACACCAGTCTCAAACAACTCAATCTTCACCCACTCATTTATATTCAGCTACAAAAAGCTGTTATTCTCAACACTTGTCGCATTGTTAGAAAATTCTTAGCAATGCAATAATAGATAAAAAATTTATATCACCTCTCTAACGTTTGACTAACGTCCACGTTAGAGAAAAATAGACCCCAGCAATGGGAGAATTGAATGAAAATGAAAACATAATAATAATAAAATCTTTATTGGACACGTTTTAAAGATTACAATTTACAAAATGATGAAATGATGAAATTTACAAGATGAGTTATGGGTTGTATTATATCTTATTTTTCCGTGAGAATGACATAATCTTCCCGGTAAAAAGTAACCTATGTCACTCTCCAGCCCTCCAGCTATCACCATAAAAATCACGCGAATGCGTCGCTCTGTTTCGACGTGAAAAAGATCACATTTCAATCAAACGAACGAACGTACCAACAAAAAAACAAACACATTTTCACATTTATAATATTAAATATGGAATGTTAATCTATTGTTATTTATAATTTTTGAACGTAAAATCATCATTTAAAAATCATATATTATTCTTTATCTTGTTTTTTTTAATATTATTATAATTTACACATAGAAACTTTACTTTTGAATTAAAAATAATTCTACCTAATTGCATTATACAAACTAAATTAACTTTATGTACATACATCTCTTTGTTTAAATCTTTATTATATTATTATAACTGTGATTTTTTTGTTATCTTTAATTTTGTTATTTTTCCCGCCAAACCAGTGGATGACATTGAGACCAGGTAATGTTGATGCAATCTCGGTTGGCAATGATATTATATAGTATACGTATCGGCAAAGAACGGATTGAAGTAAATCACACATAAAATTTAACATTCAAAGGAATAGCTCGTGTTTTCAGTATTATTTTATTAAATATTTTATTAAGTTTTATTATAACTATAATATTAATATAATAAAATGGTTTTGCGATTAATTATTGTCTTTTTAAGTATAGTAGTAACTTGTTTAGGATCAGTTGGTATTGGTAAGTTTTGTAACCTACTTATTTATTTATCATGTTTTATTTTATATTTGGTATAAAAACTTAAAGAGTATGATAAAAAATATTATTATAGTGATTTATACAAAATAGAATATTTTAGCTTTAAATTGAATAACTCTACATTTAAACTTAATAAGTTTCGTTAGTGATTACTTTTGTTTTCTATCTATAACTTAAGTTATTAAGAAATACGATACTTACGTCGGTTTTTTTAATTAAATACTAGCATTTACTCACAGCTCTACCCGCGTACCTTATTATTGTATTTATATTCCCAAAAATCCTTTCTTAGCCTCCTATTACATCCTATGTAGTATGTAGAGTCTCAATATAACTTTCATGTTTCTCATATTTAAAACGACGATATCTCTAATTTCACATCATCCACTATTTCCCATCTCCAGAGCATGTACTGCCTAAAACATTGAATTAGAATAGTCGTAATTTTTTATTAGATAGATTATTTCTAATTTTGGTCACTGTCATTTTAAAAATAACGTATTTTCATCAAACTTCTAAATTCTTTTCACCCCTTGGCGGTTAAATTTACAAGCATCCTTTCTTTTAACAAGTTTCTAATCTTTATACTTTTTGAGATTTCGTGATAAAGCAGCGAGTGAATGCTATTTCGCTTTTATATGTTACATATCATATTGAAAACGTATATAATTATATAACTTATATCACCTATATTAAAAATATATATACCTATTGCGTGACTGCTTGAACAACGGGTATAAATCTGTATGAAGTCCGCATCGTTTCGTTTTCGTAAGAGTATGCAAAACATGACGGTGTACCTTTATGTAGATATCTTTGCATTTACTTCACGTATTTCCACATTAAACTTGTTTTATCTGGCAATGTGGTTGCGAACTTTTTTTTTTAGTTAAAAAAAAAGAGCTCTAAGTCATCTATTCTCATCTAATTAAACGGACAGTTATACAAAAAATCTAAATGCTGCTTATTTGTCTTCTGTTGTGTCAAAAATTTCGTTATATTAAATAATAGTTAAAGTTACTTAAAGCAATATTTTAAAAAATATTAAATCTTCAACATTGAATAATTAGGTCAATACTTTTTTTAAATATAAAAAAAAAACTAAACTAAGTAACTTTTTCGAGGCTGGCGACTTTACCTGACTTTAATCGCGTTCTTTTTAATTTATTCTACTCGATTCACAGTAATGTGTTTCTGTTACATTTATTTTGTAGAAAAGTTATAATTAGTTTTATCATATTTAAATATTTTAAAAGCAATATTATTAAATATAAAAAAAAATTGAAGCATTATTAAATATTAAAAAAAAGCTATTAAAGTTTTAACTTTCTAGGTCCAGTGGCTAGGCTTACTAGTTTCAGGTAAAGATGAATCAGTCAGTTAATCAGGATATTTAATAAAAATAAAAACAAATTCCTAAATAACTTTAGACGTTTACCTAATAATAGGTAGGTAAGCTTGCTGTATAGGTACATATAGAAAACAGAAATATAGGCTGAACATTTCATCCTTAGATTATATTAATATGTCAAATAATCTAAGATTTCATCATACTCTTTTTAATGAAAAAGGTTTCTACATCATGATTCGGGCTAAAAAATTATACGAGTATTTATACCATTGGCATCGACATAAATAAACAACACGAGCAAACCCTGCGCAAAAGCAATGAAAATAAACACACTTATAATGGTTTATCAAGTTACATATACAGTACACATAAAGATCAAGTTACACCTTGTCAAGGTCGTTGTTTTTTTAACATTTTAACTATAGTATACTTTTAACAATAAAAGTTACAAATAATAATGCTTGTGAGTTATTTATATTTACATATTTTATTTTCAGATAACTACATAAAAATATGTAATCGAAACTCTCCGGACGTAAACGATTGTCTAGTGGAAGCAGTGCAAGATGGCATTGCCGCTATGGCTGGCGGTATAAAAGAAATCGGTGTACCTCCCGTTGACCCTTATTTTCAAAAGGAACAAGGTTTTGAATACAAGAATAATCAGGTCAGATTTAGCAACTTACATTCACTTCACTCCGGTCTTAGTCTATCTAAAAACTAACTATGTACAACGTTCAGCTATTTCTGTATGAAGAAAATCAAACATACACTAACCGATACTAATAATTATAATAGTAATCCAACTGAGTAGGATGCATTTTATTACTTTTCTACTTTTCACGCCAGTAATTAACACCTCCAGGTGAACTTCTAAGAAATTAATTAAAATTCTAAAAAATCTATTGTTAACTGACACGCCGGCGTGTCCGGCCTGTCCGTGGTCGTGGAGGGATTAAAGGATAATATAAGCTGGGTGCCATTAGGTACAAAGGTCACACTTAGTACTAACTGCAATAATAATAATTATTCAGAGAACTAAGGGAAGGTCAAGCTCGTATTAATTTGAGGTAGATATATAAGAATGTGCGAAGGCAGTGGTAGCCCAGTGGTAACGCGCTCGCTTGGGATACCGAGTGAAGCGAGTTCAAATCCCGGGTCTCGCACCTCTGATATTTTCATGTGCGAATCATTTCCAACATGATTACCACTTGCCTTACGGTGAAGGAAAACAACGTAAGGAAACCTGCATCTCTGAGAAAACCTAGCAAGTTTTCGAAAGATATGTGTAGTCCGACAACCCGCACTTGGCCAGCGTGGTGGACTATGGCCTGATCCCCCTCGTATTGAAGAGAGGCGCGTGCCCAGCAGTGTGACGTTAAAAAGGGCTAAATACATATAACAATGTATTACGTTAGTAGGTACATGAATTATAGAACAACAAGAGCATCACAGTTTAAAATCCGCTACTTTTGTCTAGCCTTAAGGCGTATATAAACGACGTTAGTAACTAACAAAACTTAGAAACTTTAGAACTTAACAAACTTTAGAACCATAAAATAATATATTATATTACCTTTTTAAAATCGTTTTATAATTAGTACAATATAAATCATCCAACCGAGTTGACTTTGTCATGTTACGGCTATTAATACGAAGCTATCATAATACAGTATCATTTTACATACGTAGATTTCTGTATAATACATTTAGTGAAGCGAAACTGCAAATCTATAAGCACACAATCCACGTTACACGTACTAGCCAGTTACAGAAATCTATAGGTACCTACTAATATTATAAAGAAGTAAAGTTTGTGAGATTGTTAGTTTGTGACGTTGTAGGGAGTAATCTCTGGATTTACTAAACCGATTTAGATGAAATTTGGTAAGAAGATAGTTTGAGACCCTGGAAAGGACATAGGATACTTTATATCCCGGAAATAATTTCTTAAAGGGGTGAAAATGGGGATGAAATTTTGTATTTGGAAGCAAGCTAGTGACGAACCCGAGCGTAGCGAGGATGAGTCACTAGTAATTTTATATATTACTTGCAACTTACCCTCGCGTCGCTCAGGTGTTTATGTATGTTTTAAATAAATATGAATAGTTATTGCGAGTGTACCTTAAGAGACAAACATGTTATTGGAACCTTTCTGTAGGTCTTTTTAAGTCCTACAGTTTTCTAGTATATTGTTTTGATGTATCTCTTAAGTTTTTGCCAGCAGGTTTTGCCAAGGAAGACTCGATAGAACCAGTTATTGACTATTGTATTTTCCCGCGTGAATAAAAGTATTTCCTGTACTAGAAGGAATCCTAAATATTGACTCGAGGTCAAGATTTTTCGCGTGAAACGCACACACAGACATGCAGACAGACAGTCATACAAATTTTTTAATAACTATTGTTTTGGACTTATTTATTTATTTTTATTACAGTCATTGTTTTTAAAAATTATTTAATGTACAGATTACGCTAAGTTACTACATATATGTATATATATTTCTTATATGTATAAATAATAAAAAAAAAAACACACAAACTCACATAATTGAGACAAAAAGGCCACGAAACAAAGACTTGTATTGGAAGGAGCAAAAAATGTTAAAATAAGTGATTATGTACATAAAAGTATAATAAAATTTACTTAGATCTATTATAACCTTGCCAAAGTTGTGAATTGTAATTATAGATTAACCAAGCAAAAGTTCCATATTTTTTAATTAGATACCTAATATAAATTTTTCATCAGTAGGTAAAAATATTTCGTACGTAAGAGTCAACCTTTATATATTAAATTAGAGATATAGGTATAACTAGCGGACCCGACAGACGTTGTCCTGTCTACACGTCTTTAATTTGAAAATTTCAAACTTTTTTTAATAATTTTTTTGATGAAAATTATTATTCAAATTGTGAATCTAAACCATTCCCAGATCCCCTTGAACACACACAAAAAATATCATCAAAATCGGTTTAGTCGTTTGAGAGAAGTTCAGTGACATACACACTCACAGAAGAATTATATATATATATATATATATATATATATATATATAAAGATAAGACAAATACGCAATTTAAGAAAACTTTCTCATCTAAGTAAGGGTTTACTTAAATGAGAATTTTCTTCTAATTAACAATTAATTATTTATTACATTTAGATATTCATCCAATCATTAATGTTTTGGGGTCAAATCTTGAATTTCAATTTATCCTTTTTTTTTTTTTTTTTATAGTTGGGAAATCCTATTACGGATACCACCCGACATCCCCCGGGGTGGTTATGTGGAGACTCTCCGGCTAATGAGACCGGCATACCCACTAAAACCCAACTTCCCCCCCCTGCCGCCATGTGGGACGCCACGGGATCGCTCTCGCATACAACCGCGACGCCCCGACGGTTGGCCGAAGCCACCAACCATGGGGCCGCCCCAAGCGGGACAACCCCATTATGGGAAGACTCAATCCAAGAAGAAGTGAGGCCGCTCCTAAGTCCACTCTGCTGATCAGAGAAGTACCCGGAGCAGCCCCACACCACACAAACACCGCCCACCGAAGTGGGCAACCTGCAAAAATAATAAACCCCACCCAAATTGGGCAAACCCCCCAAAGACGCCCGCGAACGAGCCCAAACACAAACGGCTGCAGGAGAAGAGGGTGCGACAACGCCGACACTCCCCTTCCCCTGCAGCCCCACCGCGTCCACCATCAACGATGGTGGCCCCGTTAGGCCGCGGGAGATAGGGACGAGCGGCGCATCGCCATACCGACACTCCTCTTCCCCCGCGGCCCCCCTACCGTCGGCCCACCTCCGGACCAAAATGGCTGCCGACATCCCTCGCCATACGCAGGACCACCGAAATGGCCCCGCTCCAGCCGCCGCACCGACGGGCTAGCCCCGGCAGTGTGGCCCACGCAGCACCTCCTACCGCAAAACGGCCGGAGACACCGCGCTACCTCCAAGAAGGAGACGGCGCCCTCTAACGCCGCTCCCTCAACCTCCCCTCCTGGCTGTTGGTCCGCGCCGGATTGCTCCGGTACCACAAGCTCCTGTTGGGGCCAAACAGGCGCGAGTGGTGTTCCCCTATCCGCCACCCGGGGACGCGTCCGGTAGCAGTCAGCCTCTGCCCCGGAAATTTCAATTTATCCTAAGTTATCTACTCTTTTTTTTTTTTTTTTTTTATCGTCGGGAAATGCATTTACGCATACCACCTGATCCCCCAAGTGGTGATGTGGGGCTCACCGGCTAGAAGAGCCGGTACTACCCACTAAAACCCGACATCCCTTCCCCCCGCCTTAGTGGGACGCCGCAGGATCGCTCGCGCATAACTACTACGGCGCCCCGGCGGCAGGTCTGCCTAAATACTAGGCAGACCACCAAACCAATGGGGCTGCTCCACAGTCAACTCTGCTACGTCAGGGAGGTACCCGGAGCAGCCCCATAAAACCAAAACACCGCCCACCGAAGTGGGCCACCTCCAATCGGCTGCAGAGGACAGGGAGAGCGGCAACGAAACACCGACACTCCTCTTCCCCTGCAGCCCCACCGCGTCCGCCATCAAACGGTGGCGGCCCCGTCTAGGCCGCGGAAGGTAGGGAGAACGGCGCACCGAAATACCGGCACTCCTCTCCCGCCGCGGCCTACCCCTCCGCCGAATGCGGGCCTGCGACCACAGTCCCGCAACCGGCACCCATCATCCGGTTGTGGGACCAAGCGGTCCCACAACCGGTGGCCGCAACGTCTTCGGCTTGAGGCCTAGACGAGCGGCCCCATCCAAGCCATTTGGTCCGCGCCGGATTTCGCCGGTACCACCCGCCCCTCTAAGCGGGTGGCATGCCCCTATCCGCCACCTGGGGACGCGCCCGGTAGGAGTTGGCTTCTCCCCCGGGAAGTTATCTACTCTGTGTAAATAATTCAACTGTTCAAATTTAAGAAGTTCTATTTTTAAATAGCAAACACTTTTGTAACAGAAAAGAACATGAGATTGAGTTTTAAATGAAATATAATTAAAGAATGTTGTATATTCTTATGAAAAAACTGCAGGATTATCTACAGATCTTGGCACCCATTTAGATATCAATTCTTTTGTCGTTGAAGTTGACAACCACGTATATACTTAATTTTGAACTTGGCTCCCATTTTCACATTTATGTTTTTGATGGGATAATTTATTTACATAATGCACGTAACACATATTGCTTGTGTTTATTGTTGTCTGTTTGTTTGTGTGATCGATGTTGTCATATTTTGATCAAATATTCCAGATAATTAGTCAATTGTTTACAAATCACAATAACTTTTCATTGTCACAAATAACTCTAGTCTTTGTAAATTCTGTTGTTTCACTTCCTGTTAGTTTTCCTATTGCTTCAGAAACTTTAATACAATAGAATTAAAAATTCTCATGTCATGTTCATGCTGATTATAGCTTATCTCGATTCAACGTGTTTCAAATATATTTTTTTTATTACGTAAGTAATAACTCTACCTGCATTCTTACTTTACATATTACAGCAAGCTTAAAATACACATGTATTTGAAATTAAAACTATTACCATAGATTAAACTATTACTTCATATTTAAGATCCGTTTGTAAATATTGCTTGAAATAAATGATAAAATTAAAAAAATTAAGAACTACCTCCCCATTTAGCAAGTATGTGTAACTTTCTGTAAACAATGATTTTTTTGCTATGTTTAATACACAGATCAAATTATAATACTTAATATCATATAGCATACTTATTTTTTTACTTGGGGCATTTTTTTATATATCATGATTAATACCTTACACAGTTGTCGTGAATGTTAATGGCTTAGATTATTTATATTCCAAGATAGACAGTCGAAGCTGAAAACGCGTCGAAAAAATAGCGTCCAACTGTTGGCCACTAAATACCTTCCCCGCGCTCAGTATCATTCACGCCGTCGCTGGATACGTAAAACGTATTTGCATATAAGTTATGTTTTTGTTATATTAATTAGTACGTTACGGTTGCAATCAATGAAAATGACCTCAGTTCCGACCCTAGATATATTGTTATAATTTTTGTTTTATTCCAATTCAAATTTTATTTTCTATTTTTATTTTTTACTAGCATTGCCCGCGGCTCCACCCGCGTTCAGATGACCAAAAACCCAATTCTTAGGTTTTACATATTAGTATCCTCATTACAGTTACATTACAGTTTTTGTATTTTTTCTCAGAAATGAGTTATTTTAAGACAGACAGACAGACAGACAGACAGACAAAAATTCTAAAAACTATAGATTCGGCATCTGTATCGATAATAATATCTATTTCAATAAGATTTTCCAAAAAATATTTAATGTACAGATTTGACTCAATTAGAATTTTATTTGTATAAATTTACGTAACTTTTCTCATTTTTGCTTTAGTTATTTACGTTAGCTTTTTGCAAAGTTTGTTTTTATAAATATATGAAATATTTGGCGTGGTTAATGTATTTATTTATTTTTTGCTATTAACTATCGCTCACTTAGTTAATTTTTTCGTCTATTATCTACCTTCAAAAAGATCTAATTTATTTACCAAGACAAAAAAGTAATTTAATATACCACTTCTCGGCCATGAGCCATCATTATGAATTACAAATAACATCACAAAAAACCGCGGCAAATCTTTGCTAAGTAACAGTCGTGTTAAATAGAGACAATATACTCGTAAAGGCAATCTCACGCTTACCTATAAGAAATACGGATAGACATTTAGCACATCATGTGAAGCCTTGAAATCAAATGGGTTTATAATTTATAAACATCATAATTACTCGTGCTGTAAAATTTTGAAGCCGATATATACCTTTTTTTTTAAAGTTATTAACAATGCTAACTGGATTTTAATATGATAATTCAACAAGTTTTGCATAAACTTATGATGTTTGGAGGTAATATAAGTAAACTTACATCAATAGTGCTAAAATAATACATAGATGAGCTTACTAAATAAACTATTTTTATATATTGGCAATGATATTTATTAGAAGTAAAGTACCATTAATGTCTATAAATAAACTGTTCAAAGTCGTTGTCTCCCATATAGAAATACTAACACACCTTGAAAAAATCAAATAAAGATTTCATATAATACTTATTTCAACACCAATATCAAATAAGGCCAAAGTTAAAAGACTTTATTAAGTAATGTAAAATAAATAACAATATTATTATAGTATTAGGTAACACTAACATCCACCATCTTAGTACATACTAAAAACTACACTCTAGCACATGTTCTGATACGAAATTTTAAAATTATTCAAATACCTAATTAAGTATTTAAATAAAAATAAAAAACGCGACCGCATAAAAAATGTGTTTTTGCCTCGAGTCTTACTAAATGTACATACCTATCTACACATAATATAATAAAATTGTAACTAGGCGGAATCTGTACATTAAATATTTTTTGGAAAATTTTATTGAAATAGACATTATCGATATAGAGGCCGAATCTATAGCTTTTAGAATTTTTGTCTGCCTGCCTGTCTGTCTGTCTGTTACCGCATCACAGAAAAACCACAGGAGGGATTTTGATGAAATTTGGTATGGTGATAGCTAGTTATCCGGATCAACATATAGGATACTTTTTACCGCGGGAAAATATCTCATTTATGAGAAAAAATACAAAAACTGCATTGTAAGAGTATACTAATATGTAGAACCTAAGAATTTGGTTTTTGGTCATCTCAACGCGGGCGGAATTTCGTGAGCTTATGCTAAATAGATTTTGAGTTATTACGAGGTGAAAAGTGGCTCCAAATGGTTCGTGTAAATATACACACGGTGCTGCGTCGCCAATTCCTTTGACTTTAACTTGGCTGAACACGCTACCGCGTGTCTTGATAATCTCCCGCGATAAAAAGTAACCTATGTCACTCTCCAGCTCTACAACTATCTTGGCACAAAAAATCAAGCCAATTCGTCGTTCCGTTACGACGTGAAAGAAGGACAAACAAACAAATAAACAGACACACTTTCACATTTATAATATTAGTATGGATTATATAGGTCCAATTGAATTTAGAATAATTTTTACATGTGCGTAATATGGTCATATTTTTACTAACTCATATTTTTACAGATACAAGCTAAGATGGTTACCACAGATATTCTGGTACACGGTTTAAGACATGCTACTGTTCGCGATGCGAGGTATATAACTTCACTTTATTTATCACTATAATTGCTTCAATATCTTTTTTATGCATAATTTAAATGTTATGAAAAGGACATTTTTATATGTTTCATTATGATTTGTATGAGTTGTAACTTTTTATTACACTTCCGTATATCTTTTGCTTCAAAGTTTTTCCTTTTTCGTAGGCTTACGGTCGGTGCATACTTTAAATTAAAAAAGATTCCGACGAATTGATAACCTCCTCCTTTTTGGAAGTCGGTTAATAAGGTTTTGCGCCGATATGTTTTATTATTTAAAAAAAATCTATGTAATAAGAATTTTATTAACGCCTGCAAATATACAGGCATAAATATTATAATAATATTAAACGTAGTCATTTTTTATGATTTATTTTATTTTAGGTTGAGAGCCGAAGACGATAATTTCCATCTAGAAATAGATATGTTTAGCCCTGCCATTTCAATAAGTGGTAAATATGAAGGCCATGGCGGTTACAATTCTTTGAACATTACCGCGCACGGAACTTTTGTAACAAATATGAGTAAGTTTTTTTTTATCTCACATATCATGTTATTCATAAAAGTGTTTTTTCATGTGGAATCTGGATAATAATTTAGCTCATTCTATCATTTAATCTAAGCATGTATAATTTGCAAGCATTACTTATTTATTCTCTTATATGTATATAATAAAAGTGCAACTGATCGTTGTCTGTACATGGTACATGTTTGAGAAAAGTTGAGGTTCTTTATTAACGTAATAGACCCAAAACAATGATTTTTAGAATTTTTGTCTGTTTGTCTATTTATCTATTTGTTTGTGCGCGCTAATCTCAGAAACGTGAGTCGCTAGTATTTTAATATAAATATATAAATTTCAGCTAACTTAGTATACACGTGGAAACTGGATGGAAAACCAGAAACCATAAACAACGAAGTGTTTGTAAGAATCAAATCATTCTATATGCGGCCAGATGTTGGTAATATGCAAATTTTCCTTACCAATAAATCCCCCGAAAGTAAAGATTTAAGTAAGTAATTTGAAGTTACATATTTATTTAGTTAAAAAACTATTTATCAATGAACGATATTGGGCTCATATTGTTTGCACGATACTAATTTATGTCAAACAAATATGAAAATAATTTTGTATGCACGTTTGTATAAGAGTCTGATGAAAATGATAAAATTGATATCCCTAGGTCACTTGTGCTTTCGGAAAAAATTTAACACATGAAACGTGTTGATTGCGTCGTTGGTCTTAGTTTAGTTAGTTAGTTTGTTTGTTAGTTAGTCAGTTAGTTAGTTAGTGACTAGCATATATAGCTGCAGATCGAGAGGGTTTGAGTCCTTGAGATTTTAAGTGGGTGTAGTCTAAATAGTTATCATAGAGTATATTGCTACATATATAAAATAGTTACAGAGTTTTTCTGTCCCGAAATACTCGCAGCGGAAGTGGGAAGTTGGCGATGTTATATTATTATAACCTTGTGTCTAGAAGAGCACGCGTCTTGATTGCTTAGGAGGTCATTATTACGATACGCGTGACTTAGGTATTTCATTATTGCGAGAGTACAGTGATAAATAAATATAAGATCCAATTTTAACTATATTTCCTTGATATAATGGGTTGAGTGCCTATAATGTGAGGAGTTAAAAGAATAATAAATGCTTAAAAAAACAATTTAATATAGTATAGTAGTCAGTAGGTAATAATTATAACTAAGCGAGGTCAAGGGAGGTCTATTATATTTTTAAATAAAAAAAAATCGAATAAAGTTTTTTTTATGACTCCATTAAGAAGAAGAATGGTTTGAAATGTTTTTTGGACCTAATAATATTAATAATATCTTTTTTTTCAGCCGAACTCGGCGTAAAGCTTGTTAACGAGAACTGGAGGATAATGTACAAAGAGTTAGTACCTTACGCTCAGGCCAATTGGAATAAAATAGGCACTAAAGTTGCTAATAAAATATTCCTGAAAGTACCTTACAATAAGTTATTCCCAGTTTAAGTCTTATACAAATGTATTTAAAAGATATATGTAATTAATATGTATGTACCTTTAAATGCACCTATGTATTTTTACAGTATGGTATTAAGTAAATTCGTACTATACTTACTCAGAACTAAAGAATAAGATAGACGAAGCGTGTATGACATAGTAATTGACTCCAGAAACAGTTATAATTAGTTGTTCTGTTTACAACGCCATTCTCGCCATTTATGTGCAATAAGAAACAAAATAATCACAGTAATTATGCCGAGCTACATAATAAAAATGATTTTAAATAACAATCAAGGCATATTAATTATAAATTGACGATCGATCATTGACTATTCAAAATAATTATTACCTTGATATATTTTCTTTTGACGTTGCTTCCTTATTCTTGATTAGACGCGCTCTATCCTGTTCTGTCTGAGGTAGGTACTAACTACTAATTATACTTCTAGTAATTCTAGTAGGGGAGCCCAAGAGGGGATTTTCTGTAGTTACTCGAGCGCGGCAGATTAACATAAAAGAGGTTACCTTGCACTCTATTGAGTACTTTCACCATAATATAAGTCTTCTATATAAAGAGGCGCGTCTAGGGAAGCCGATTAAAATATTTAAAAAATGTTTTGATAAGGTAGAAATACTTGAAACCGTCAGATTAAGGTGTGGTAGGCTAGTCACATCCTGAAAAGTGTCCAATTCAATAATCTGCCGATTTGCACAAGCCGAAGAGGCAAAAATCAACTATAAAGTTTATGATAAATGATGAAACTACAGAAAATCCCCTCTTGGGCTCCCCTACTATTCTATATATTCTATCAGGGAAATTGTTAGGGATATATAAGTATCTAATTGTTATGTTTTAATTTGTAACCTAGTCAGATTAATAATAAACGTAAGTATACAATATATACGTATCACATATGATTTTTTTTAATCCCCCTATAGTTATTACTTATATTTTTTCAACCCTTGCTGGGGGTTGCAGACACGAAAACCTTTATACATTGTTTTTGTATCATTAAACTACATTACATCAAAAATGCAAAGTGAGTGCTAACATTTTGATTTCAGACCTTATTTGATTGGACTAATCTATCTGAATGTCACAACCACGGAAAATCCGTGATAAATATAAAATACTGGCTACTTTGATCTGTGACTATAGAAATTATAATTACTTAGCTGAAAATTGGTGGGTAGATGACCTGCAAAATTAAATTTTGCATTATGTACGTTTTAATAATGAAGTTTACAGCTTTTGTGTTTGTCATTAAATACCTAATATGAGTAATCCCATTAATATATATATGTACATATTATAAATGCGAAAGTTTGGATGGATGGATGTTTGTTACTCAATAAGGCCAGAACGACTGAACGGATCGGATGTTTGGCACATAGATAGTTAATATAGTTTGCAATAGCACATAGGTTACTTTTTTGGATATGGGATGGATTTGTTTTTGTCTATCACAGAGCAAGGGATCGAATTATCTATTCCATACTAACCGTTAAGAGGATTGTGAACCTGTAAATTTTCATACAAAAAGCGATAACGTTTTTCCCCCCTTAAACATAGTCTAATTTTCATAATTTTTGGAGATGTTGTAGATATAATCAAAATCTAGGTCCGTACGTTTTTATTTTTTTGAAATATTGCGTACGACAGAAGTTATTAGCATCTAAATATCTATATTTTTGACCTAAAAACTTCCTCCAGCGTTTTTATTTGTTTAAATTAAACTAAACTGAATTACAAAAAAAGGAAAACGTACAGACCTAGATTAAGGTGTACTGAATCTAATGAGACCAAAATCGTCTTATTTCGTTAATGTTTAGGGGGGTGAAAACGTTATCGCCCGAAACAATATTTCAAAAAGGAAATGTAGGTAATTGAGTCTAAGACTTGCAACTCTCTCTATCGCACCATACGGGTCGGGGGCAAGGGCATATTTTAGACTGTAGTGATGTTGAAGGTGCTATCGATATTATTATCTCCTAGGGAGGAGAAGGTAATATCGATATATCGATCGATACTGAAAGGATTCAATCCAAAGTTTAGAATTTTATTATACTCGTATGTATAGATTGTAACTAAGCCGTATCTGTACATTAAATATTTTTTGGAAAATATTATTGAAATAAAAATTATTATCGATACAGAGGCCGAATCTATAGTTTTTTGAATTTTTGTCTGTCTGTCTGTATGTCTGTCTGTCTGTTACCACGTCACAGAAAAACCACTGGAGGGATTTTGATGAAATTTGGTATGGTGGTAGCTGGTTATCCGGATCAACATATTATAGCATTACCGCGGGAAAATATCTCATTTCTGAGAAAAAATACAAAACTGAAAATATATATATAAATATATATATATATATATATATATATATATATATATATATATATATATATATATATATACAGGGTCATTTTTAATTTACTGAAGACCTTTTGGGAATATACTATTTACATCATAACAACAACCTCTGTAACAAGAAAAAAAATATTTCTTAAATTTTCATTTTCATACAAAAATAAAAATATTTTCTATATCATCATCATCATTATATCTGGCCAAGTTTGAATGAGTAAGGACCACTTCCTACACCCCTCCACCCCTCGCCCTCCACCCCTCGCCCACCACCGGTCACGCGCTTTCTTTTGCTAATTGCTGGACTATTACCGTTTAGAAGGAGCAATAAAAATACTTTTATTTTTGTAAAATTTATATTTTTAATTTTATATTCGTTATAATTTATAATATTCGTTATAATTTTATGAAAATTATTACGAATAGTATGTGTATAATTATATATATATACACATACTATTCGTTATAATTTTTTCGAAATTATCGATATTTTATTAGTTTTTGGAGTAAATTTTATTGATTTTTCTGAAAAAAATGATTTTAGGGCAATTACAGAAAGAAATGAAAATCATTCGTACTCTAATCTTGTTTATTCATTAGTTAAAAATATATTTAAAAAAATTAAGTTGATATATTTTATAAAATTTAGTCATAGATATGTTAAAAAATCGTAAATCATCATCATTCATGATCAGGTCATTTTATGAATTTCTATTCCTTATATACCTGCTAACATTATAAAATCATAAAACTTCAGGTTTTCAATAAAATAATTATTTTAACAATAAAAGGATTCCGATGGGTCTATTAGTACCTACATAAACAACAAAAAATTCTATAACTTTCAACTTTTGGAACGAGATTTTTGTAATTGATCTAAACCACCTATTTATTTTTTTATGATTTTTTGAAGTCATCAATCTAAACAAGTCAAATTTTAAATGATATTCGCCACAGAATTGTAATTTAGAGTTATTTCAGTTTATGAATAAAGGTGCGATGTAACTTGTAGGGAATGTATATTGTACGCAAACCGTTAAAATAATAAATATTAGATAAACTTTGAAATTGCTCTTGCGCCGAGTCGCGCCGCCCCCGCCCCCGCCCCCCGCAAGCGCCCGCGCGTCACCGGCTGCTGCTATCATAGTGTGTGTGAGAATTTGCGTATGTTGTATTTGTGTTGTTCACTGCCGGGGGGATGCAAAGCGGTATGAAACAGATAGCATTTTTAAAAATACCTACTCTCGCCGCGTATCGGCACTTCACAATCCTCTTAAAACGTACCTAGGGACGAACCCGAGCAAAGCGATGGTGGACCGCTAGTAATCATAAGGTATGTTTTGAGGCTACAAGAAAATGATATCCAGTTTCTTTGCATCTTGGTACTGCACAATTTGTCATTTTAATTAAATTTTAAATAAAATGAAAAATATTCCATCCACGTTATAGAGCTTCACAATATACTTTGGGCCATAGTAATCGCGACATCTGGCAGGCAAAAAAGGTAAAATTCTTTCCCATTGTATAAAAAAATCACGACGTCGTTATGTGCGCGTACTTCCATATTCATAGACCAGAAAAGAGTAAGGCCGACCATGCTCGAGCAGTAAGCCAGTGATGAACATAAACGGGCCGTTCTTGCAGTCACAATCGCTGGAGCAGTTGATACCAAATGTAGCAGTTGGTATCAACCGCTCAACAAGTCACGCTACTTTTGCTCAGACGACGACGAGGTGGAATGAAAAGCGCTGGCGGAGGTAACTTCGCGAGAGTAGTCGATAGCTCGAGCAGTCAATGTATGCCTGGATGATATTTCCCCTCAGCCTAACAAAACAATCACGTTGACAAAAGTCACTCCTGTGTAATAGGCCTTATTCCAACCAAATAGTAACTCCGAACGAAGGTGATAATGGCATGTTAATCGTAATAATATCAAATGCCATTCTTTTATTTATTGATATAAAACTTTATAACAATAAATAAAATTATAAATACTTTTACTTTATCTATATTTATTAATCTGTGCTGAATGCCGATTGGCGCTTATCACTTGTCTAATGTCTTGTCAAAATGCATATTTTGATGTATTTTTCAGATTTCTCAACTTTTACTAAAAACATGAAGCTGCGGCTTATCTAATGTGTTAATAGTAGTAAAAATTTATACCCTTTAAAAATGAATTTAATACTAAAATATTTCGTAGCCGGTTTAGTCCGATATTGGCTAATTCACACTGATTATTGGTATACAATATCAAATAGAGTTGAAATAGCTACGCCTCTTAACTCTTGGAAAAGGTTAATTGAGGGTATTTATTTATACGACCATGGAATAAACCCGTATGAAGGAGATTCCTTTCACGAGTCGCCTATAGTGCTTATTTTCTTTTATTTTCTTTTAAAAAAAGTACCTTACTTATTACCGGTTATATTTACTTGTATAGATATATTAACTGCACACATATTGTATGAAACAGCAAAAGCATTTAATCGTATGTTTAAAGAGACCCAAGAAAAGAACATACAAGTAGTAGCTGAAGAATCAAAGAGTATGATTTTAAATGAATCCCAACTGAAAGAAATACCAGAATATGTTTTATCAATTTATTTATTCAATCCGTATTCTGTTTTAAACTGCGTAGGAATGACAAGCACAGTTATCCAAAACTTATTACTGGCTGTGTCTTTATGGGGAGCATCAAGTGGTCAGAGAGTACTTGCTTGTTTGTTCACTGCTCTTGCTACACATCAAGCCTTGTATCCTATACTGATGATTGTACCAATATCTATTTTATTGGCAGACATAAGTAAGGGATGTAACAAATGTTCTTATATTAGAACACTTCTTGTTTTCGTATTGTGCTGGGGATTCTTAATATATATATCTGCATTTATTATGGATGGTTCATATAGTTATATCTATAATACATATGGATTCATGTAAGTTTAGAAGCATAATATAAGTAATGTGTATGAAAAAATATACAATAAATTTATTAACATTATATTTACTTAATTTGATTTCAGATTGACGGTGCCAGACTTGAAGCCCAATATTGGTCTATTTTGGTACTTCTTTACAGAAATGTTTGAACATTTCAGATTGCTATTTGTATGTGCATTTCAAATCAATGCATTAGCCCTATATGTTGTGCCATTAACTCTTAGATTTCACAAGGAACCTGTATTACTGGCCACAGTTCTAATTGCTCTCTCTACAATATTCCGATCATATCCATGTGTAGGAGATGTTGGATTCTATTTGGCCCTTTTGCCTATATGGAAACATTTGTTCTCATGTATGTATATTTTACTTTTTTATATTTATTATAAAAAATACCCGTAGCCCTTTTCTATCATAGTTTAATTACTTAGTATTGACACCTAGGAAGATTATATTTATTATTGTAGTATAATAAAATATATATAAATAGAAAGATAAAATTCTTAATGCATGTATTTTATTCATTATTATTTCAGTTATGCAACAGAAATTCATTGTTGGTTGTGCCTTCATAATAACATCAGCTCTTGGACCAACAGTTTGGCATCTTTGGATTTATTCTGGTTCAGCCAACGCCAATTTTTTCTTTGGAGTAACTCTCTCATTTGCAACTGCCCAAATATTTCTTATAACTGATTTACTATTTGCATACATAAAAAGAGAGTTTACATTAAAGCATGGTTCATCACGCCAGATTGATGGGAAATCAGCTAAATTAGTATTACGATAACCTAATTTTGTTACAATAATGTCAGTTATTAAGATTAGTATTTAATATATATGTATAAATTGCATTTAATTTAGTAATAACCACTGAAATAGCCCAAACATTTTTGTGATAATTAATGAACAAAGTGCAAAATCAAATTATGATGTATGTACTGTACAATATTTTAATAGAAGTATAAACTGGGTGAATTTTTTAAGAGAGTGTTGGTAGCAAAAAATGAAAATGCTCAAAGAAGTTGCATCCCTGTTAATTTTTTAAAAACCAAAACTGATGTATAGAATTATTTAAAAAAAAAAAATTCTAGCCTAGGGCATAAAATTTTGATTTTTTAAAAATATTCCTGAATTATTAAGCCAATCTGTATTTGTAAAATAATAATGATTACAGAGATTTTACAAAATCTTTAAGTATTGGTCGGCATTGTTATATTAAAAGTATCAATTTTTAGGTCAGTGAAATAGATGATATTTTAGTTTAGTAAAAGAAAATGATTTACAAATATAAAAAAATTCAACAATATTTAATTAGGATTGAATTGTTTTAGCTATAAACTTATATACAAAATGGTCAGAAGTTAAAATTGGTTACAGTCATGTACATAAAACATTAAAACTGACATTAATTTAAATATTATATACAGGCTAGAATCTTAAAACATATTTGCTAAAAGTAAATACTGCTCGCAGATTTCCTTAGAAACAAAAAAAAACAGGCATATTTTGTATCAATTCATAAATAGTATCTTGGTGTTTTATTTCCAATAATTATTAACTGTTAACGGACGACGGATGTACACTTTTATGAACAAAACAAAAAAAAAATTCTGAGTAATAAATGAATTAGTAATAATTTTATGTTAATGATGTAATGTTTTTGAAGTTAATCTCTGTAATGAGAATACCAAAAGCTATAATTAATTTATTATAAAAAAAGTCAAAAGTATTTATAATTTTTACACAATAAAAAGAGATTGACCGTCTGATTGTGGATTGTGAAGCATATAGTACCTGTATGTAATATAATAACTAATAAATTGTTTATTTTTATTTTAGTTTTTATTTAATTACCTATAATCTTTTACTTGTGCATTAATCCTGAAATAATATTGCCCTACTTACACATTGTATCACTATCTTATCTCTCAATCACTGAGTAGGTATATCTCGCACGCCCTAACGTGAAACAACAGTGCTGTTATGAATTGTTTCATTAGTGTCATAATGTAACTTAAAAATATTTTTAAATAATAATGAAGGAACTGCTATTAGTTGTGCTATTTTGTACGATATTTACTTGTAAGTATTTGATTGTCTTATATCTTTTTGCATAATATTATGTAGATACTACGTGAATTGACTTTAAAATATGTTTTTAAGTACAGAGCTCTGGTAATAATAATAATTTGGTAAAATTTTTATATATATATATATATATATATATATATATATATATATATATATATATATATATATATATAATTAAATTGAATAATAGAGTGCTTAAACAACTACCAAAAGTAAATCATTGAAGAGCTATTTATTCTATAACTTAGCAATAACAAGTTTTTTGGTAAAAAATAAATGTAAACAGTATCTATATTTTTTTCTTACTCTTACTCTACAACTTTCTTATAATTAAATTCATTTTTATATTTTGTAGCATCAGAAGAAGTCATAATATCGAGTATACCAAGTCATCTCATAGAATGTTACCAAAATGGAGGTCCTATACTAAGTGCTCCTCGAAGGCTTGATGTATTTATTTCACTTATAAGACGATTGGAACTAAACTCTCGACTTGACATGCGATTGTTTAGTGCAGCCTTACTAAGAAGGTATTTTGAACCAAAATAGTAATATGAAAACTATTTTCTTTATATATAAGAAACTTAAAACAATATAAATTCCAAATATAATGTAGTCATGAAAAATAGTTCGAAAAGATATAAGTAGGTACCCAATGTGGAAAGCGACTTTTATTGATTAAAAATCTGTTATAATTTAAGTAGGTACATTCAAAGAAAACCTTTAGGAAATAGCGCAAAGATAATACGTAAGTTCTGTACCCAAAAGTAACAGATTCGTAGTAAAGACAATTACCTACCTGTATTCGTCCGTTCATTGCCTGCCCTACCTTTAAAAAGCGAGGTAACAGGCAGCTCACTTGAAATCTTCTCAGAATACTTATGTGGTACTACTCTGTTGAAAAACTCCAATAGAATCCCATCTAAAGCGACAAAAGCCACATAGAAACCAATAAATATGTATTTATAGGTACAGCGGAAAACAAAATATCAAAGGGACCCATCTAAACCGTGTTTTTTAAATTCTTATTATTGGTCAGTTGTATAGACAGATGCGATCAATGCAAGAATTAAAATTAGGTTGATTAAAGGGCATGGGTTAGCCAGGACTAGTAGATATTAGTCTATCTACCTAGTACTCACGACACCAACTATTCATATTAATTTGAAACAACTTTTCTTCGTGTCCATACTTCATGTTACCTACTAAATAAAATAGCAAAATATAACAAAACGGACAGTTTTGCGTGGGTCACTTTCACTGTAAGAGAGAGATTCAGTCGCTAGATTCAATGTACCTACCTAAAATCATACACCACCGCCATACAGTCCTACTTCGACAAAATGGACAGTTTACAGGAGTCTGTTTCACGCTTGACCACTTTTTTACAGCCTTCGCCTCGACGGTATTGAGGAAGCTGCTAATACCGTTGGATCTGAATTCGTTTTACCCTTCAGAGCTTCCGCATTTCAATTTCATAAATATAAGCTGCTTATGGAGTTGTTTTTACCAAGCCAATCGGATATTATCAATGTGGACGAATGGCTTAATAATATAGAAAAATGTTTGCTACATAAAATGCTCAGCTCAACTGTAAGGCCATGGGAGAGAGGTGATGAAAGCCTAGTTTGTCCATTAACTGTACAAAATCGACAGTCCATGGCACAAAGCGCAAATAGGTAAGAACTAAGATGTCAAAAACTCAAAAAAAAATTAAAAAATTGAGTTACGTGGGTATAGTGTTCTAAGTAAAACGTCAAACGTGTGATGTAATAATCAATTGCTTAATTATATTGAAGAGCTGGACGGTCAAAATCGCGTATTCAACTTTAACAATTATAGTCCGCTTACTGTATAATATAATATAGACATTGGCTTCAAAGAACAATTACAATACACAAGAATTGAACGGTTAGTTAAAGCTAGTTAATAGTTTATTAAATAGAGTGATAATTTTTTATTTGATAACGACTACGGCATCACTGTTTTGAGAATATCTGGTTGCATCACTTCCAGTGTCTTCCGTTATGCGTACTGTTGTCAAGAAAATGTAATAAAGATCCGCTTAACTCTTATATCTATGCCACGTGTTAAAACACATGTATACTATGTATGTATATATTGCACTGCCTTGGTGGTGTAGTGGCTAGCATGTACGGTTGCACACCTGGAGGTCCTGGGTTCGAGTCCCGGGTCGGGCCAAGTTTAGTTATTGTGTCTTTTTGTATAGTAAGCCTCGGAGAGCACGTAAAGCCGTCGGTCCTGCGCCGACACTCTCACTGGTCGTGTCAAGTGATCGTCCCACCAGAGTATGAGAGTGACAGGAATAGAGAGTGCACTTGTGTCTGCGCGTACATTTGTGCACTATAATATCTCCTGCGCAGTTGGCTAGTCTCAATAAGATTGGCCGCCGTGGCCGGAATCGGTCAGGAGAACATCATCATATAAGAAAAACAAATATTTTTAGAATATACAGCAGATGTCCAATAGAAGAAGGAGTTATCAAAACTGATTGGGGCACAATATCTCCAGGAATATTAGTAGCAGCTCTCGCCTCCTCTTTAGAAGCTCAACGAGTGAGCATCAGTGATATTTTAACCGCTAAAATATTCAAGGAAGAAATATCACAGGCTTTGTTAGATTCAGCAATAGACGATTGGCACATACAGAATGAAGCATTTGACATCGATGGACAGGATAATGACTCAGATTCTGATATTAGCAATATCTGGGTTGCGACATTGGCAGGTATCTACAATGAATAACTTGAAATTGCCTATATAATAAAATTAATTACATATACCTATAAAAAAAGCTAAGATAAATAAATATTACTAATATTTTTAAATATAAACCTACGTACTATACTTTGTGGCTAATAGGATTGCCTTCTAAGCTGCGGACCGTGGTTTTAATTTTAGTTTTGAATTCATAAATTACTATAACGATTATAATTGATGGAAGAAAATAATAACTTGCAAGCAACTTGCATATTGTCCCGATAAAGGGGTGACAAGCTTAGATTTAACCCTGATGTCCTTGCAAGAATAAGAGAAGATAGGCCAAACAATAAACAGAAGTACATTAAGTAATTCATAATATATGTACACCTATTTACTTTTACTGATATGACAAAATATTATTTATCTTTACTCGACAATTATGTGTGTTCAGGAGATTTAGCAGAGGTAGTAGTAAATCAGGGGCCCAGAGTTGGAGCGTCGTCACAACGGCTGTTAGTAGGCAGTAGCAATAGATGGAACGACACGATGCTACCTCGCAATTATTATATATTCCCACCAAATGGAACTTTACCCAATTGGCATTTCACTGATGCAGAAATTTTAGCGGGCATTGATGGTTTGTATTGTTAACAATTTTTGTTAAACAAATGTGTTGTGTATGTAATCCATTTAATCGACAGTTCGTCTACTCTTTAAATTCCATTCATTTTAATGTTACATACTCGTATTCTTTAATCAGCACAATTCTTGGTTATAAAGTTGTTCCTTATCTTATAATGGTTGTAACTACACAGTTAGAGAGCAAAGACGAAAATGTACGATATATTAGCTTATTGCTATTTATTAACTGTATTACCAAGAGGGAAAAACGGGAAAAATAGTTTGTTTATAAGTAAAAAACTTTTTAACAAAAAAATAAAAACCGACTTCAAAAAAATCACTAAAAAGTAAAAAATAACTGATTGGTAGTTTTCATTTACCTATACATACCTAATCAAATATTTTCGAAGTCGGTGTGCTTTGCTTTGTATTTATAAGTACTAAGTCGTATGACAAATAGTAAATTACTCCGAAAACAGACCCTAGGAATTCTAATCACCTCTGATACCTATACCTATACTTATATTATTATGCAAATTACGGTAACTCGACAATTTAATGAATTATTTTAAAGAGGAGAATATCATAAACTTTTATCAAACTACAGTTTCCAAAAAAAAACCCTCAACTGTCAAGCGTCCCGGGCACTACACGTAGGCCCGTGTAGGTACGATTGCGGATTACGTGCCTTAGTTCAGGACAAGATTTGTATGTTCTAAGCAAATATTATCACGGATTTCTGCTTGCAAGCCACCTCTTATTCATAATCGAATATAGCTAAATCAGCAGTAAATTAATAAATATATCGACATTATTATATTTTACTAGCATTGCCCGCGGCTCCGCCCGCGTTCAGATGACCAAAAACCAAATTCTTAGGTTTTACATATTAGTATACTCTTACATTGCAGTTTTTGTATTTTTTCTCAGAAATGAGATATTTTTCCGCGGTAAAAAGTATCCTATATGTTGATCCGGATAACCAGCTATGACCATACATCAAAATCAAATCCGTCCAGTAGTTTTTCTGTGATGCGGTAACAGACAGACAGACAGACAAAAATTCTAAAAACTATAGATTCGGCCTCTGTATCGATAATAATGTCTATTTCAATAAGATTTTCCAAAAAATATTTAATGTACAGATTTGACTCAGAATTTTGTTATATCATATATGTATAGATTATTACGCCATATTTTGTTATTACAGGCCTCATATTAGCTAACTATTTACCAACATGGGTTGGACAAAGGAGAAGTTTACGGTTATCACAAGTGATAGAGATGTACTATTCCAATGAAGGGGTATCTTTTGAGCCGACTGTCCGAGCGTGCAACAGACACGCGTTGTTTTCCAGAATAGTAAACAGCTCACAATTGTTGGGAGAAACTTCTAGATTCGCACATATCCTGTCTTTACAACAAATAACTGTTTATATTCCTAAGGAGGAAATGTTAAGGTTCACCGAGGCCGCCGTCACCGCGTTTGAGAATTATGTTCGTAAGTGATTTGATCAAGTGTACTTATATGTACTAACTAGCATTGCCCGCGGCTACGCCCGCGTTCAGATGACCAAAAACTAAATTCTTAGGTTTTACATATTAGTATACTCTTACAATGCAGTTTTTGTATTTTTTTTCTCAGAAATGAGATATTTTCCCGCGGTAAAAGTATCCTATATGTTGACCCGGATAACCAGCTATCATCATACCAAATTTCATCAAAATCTGTCCCGTGGTTTTCTCGTGATGCGGTAACAGACTGAGAGTCAAAAATTCTAAAAAGTATAGATTCGGACTCTGTATCGATAATAATGTCTATTTCAATAAGATTTCCCAAAAATATTTAATGTACAGATTCGGCTTAGTTAGAATTTTATTATATGTTAGATATTATAAAGAGGCAGAGTTTGTTTGTTTGATTGAACACGGAATTCTCAGTAACTACTTATCCGATTTGAAAAATTCTTTTTGCATTAGATAGCCCGTTTATTGAGGATGGCTATAAGTATATAATCTTGCTACTACCCAAGGGAGCAAAGCAGTAATATAATATATAGTCTATCAATACCATACTAACCGTTAAAACGTACCTAGGGACGAAGCCAAGCCGCTAGTCTAGGTATAATTAATTTGTTTGAGAATCTAGGTATTTATTTGCCATGTATTTCCTATTCAATTGGAATTCTATTGGTTTTTCATGACATGCTTCTCTCTATACTATAAACATTTTTAGTTTCAAATTTAAAAAAAATGTAGACAGTGCGTGTATAGAAGAAGTGAAACTTCTGTAGCTGTAGATCATCGGTATTTTTTATAAAAACTAATAGTAAAATTTTACAAATTCTATTTAAGTTTTAAATAATTGGGATACTAAAAAATATTTTTTATCTATTTAAAAACATATTATATCAACAAAATTTTACTGAAAAATAGATTGGAAATTCAAATTTTAGTTGGGTCTTTTAGTTACGTGGTACTTTTGACTTATCAGATTTTTTAATTAGCAGAATAATAAAATGTCATGATAGTTAATTAAGATTAATACTGTAAGATATAAAACAAGATGTATTGAAATCAACATTAATATTTCATTATCGACTGCAAGTAGCTGGTACCGATCGATATATGTATCTTAATGATGTAATTATAATAAAATGGTAGGTATTTTTTAAATATATGCTTGAGTAACAGACAAATCTCCTAAAGCAAGGTTATCCATATAATTCTATATTATTATTGTAAATGTGAAAGTTTGTATGGATGTAGGTATGGATGTTTGTTACTCTTTCACGCCAGAACGGCTGAACGGATCTGGGTGAAAGGCACAGAGATAGATTATAGTCTGGAATAACACATTTTTATCCCGGAAAAATGTACGGTTCCCGTGGGATAGGTTTGTTGTTGTTTTCCTAGCGACGAAGAGCCGCTAGTATTAAATATTAGATAATTTATATACTTTTAGCATTGTTGTTGAGGCAATACCATCAGGAATGCCGAGCGAGCTCCAGTGTGCCAGTCATAGACTTGATTGTGGCTACTGATGGAAGCTGGAAGGGTTATGAAGTAGAACAATTTATGTCGTAAGTAGTTCTTTGTATTTTCAAGCAGAATATTTTTATACAATCTTCACTGAACCCGCAGCTAAATTTTTTAAAACTATATCATAATGACGTGGATAAATCATAAACAGTAAAGAAGTAAGAAAATAATATTTTTCTGGCCATGTTTATTCCAAACCTTGTAATAACTTCGACAATCAATTATGAGTATCTGTAAATGTTCCTTAAACATACTATTTTAACCTACTGTAATGGATAGCGAAAATTATAAAACCTGTTTTTTTTATTCCATCGCAATAACAACTTAAAAAAGGAGGTGGCACTCTATTTTTTTTTGTGTAGTAGATTACGCGGTATCTTCGCCAATTATAAACTGTTTTTCATGTTTTTTTTAATACCTAAGTTGTGTTAAGGGTGATCCCATATAAGTTTTATTAATAAGTATGTAATATTTTAAATAAAACTTTTGTTTAGATTTTTTTACGTATTTATTGTGATTTTTGGTTCCCGACTTCTCAAATGCCTTACAGCAATCATGATCACGGTAATGATCTCATCCGTGACCATAGAAGACAGTTTTATTTAAAATATCAAATATTCGCGTTAATCTAAGTATTTAGTATAAAATAATTGCCTTTAAGTAGATTTTTAACTCAGTATAGTGTGTAGTGTTAAGATTAAAAATAATTATTGTAGTTAAAGTATCATATCTATCTATACAGGTGGATAGGAGGTGCTTTGGAAATAGAGACGCAACGCAGCACTATAGGCTTGCTGCACGGCAACACCGGACAATGGATTGTGCCGCCTGTACATAATTTGACTTCATTATTTACTACAATCACAAATAGTACTATCGAATGTAGGTAATCTATTTAATTTAGGTACATTTAAAAAAACTCTTTTTAATTTTCAGCAGATCTGTAGATCGCGGGTTTGACTCCGCGATCGGGCAAAAGTAAATAAAAGTAAGAGAGACACTCGCTGCATAGACTGAGTCTACGGTATTATAGTACCTTGGTCTAAACCGGCCTTAAAGGCACAACACTACAATTTACACAAACTAGTGTACAATAATTAATATTGTCCGTTTGTATTGAAACGGTCAAACAAACAAAAGCTTAATAATTAAATGATTTTAAGCACCCCACAGTCAAAATACTTCGATGCACGAACTCAGCGAACGATATTTCATATTTGATTTATTTCTTTATAACTTCGTACTCTATCTATAATATATACATATACAACTAAAAGTGTATACAATGTACTTATTCGTAATTTCAGGGCCGAATCGTCTAAATTTACCCAATGTCTTATCAAGAATCATTCAATATAGTCGAAACCAAACCTTAAAAGATATAACCGACAAAAGAAGCGCCAGCCATAACGCTGTAGTCCTCATCATAAGTCCTATAGATCAGCCTTCTGTTGATGATCTGGAAAGGGGAAGAGTTCTAATGAATTCATTGCGAAGTACCTTCTTCGATATCTACTTCGCCTACGTCTCACAAGATATGTCTACATTTCAGAATATCAATAACGCATATCTTGATTACTCAGAAATGTTTCTAACGGTATGTATTTGCTCATAAACGTGGTTCTTACTAAAATAAATAAATATATGTTGGGACGTTAACACACAGCACCATCTTGTTCCAAGGTAAGCTACGACGCTTGTGTTATGGATACTAGATAGTTAATACACTACACTATATAACTTTAAATACATACATATTATAAATATAAACACCCATAACTGGAGTACAAACATTCGTGTTCATCAAACAAATGAATGCCTCCAGCGGGATTCGAACCCGCGACCGCTGGCACAGCAAGTAGGATCACTACAAACTGAGCCAAACGTGTCGTCATTGTCATTGTCATTTTTCCTTGTCGTCAAAACACCTATATATTTTAAGTTGCTTGAAAATCATAGCTAGCTGCTACCACCACAATGCATTCGCTTAAATCGTTTTGTAATGTTCATTTATTATCTATTTCGTAGGTAAATTCAAATTCTGTAAAAGATGTTATTAGTGCAATAGAAGAGAATCTAGTAAAAAGTATTATACCATCTAGAATATTCGGTGGGCAATGTCCAGTCAACGGCACTGAGTTCTATCAGGTGCCATACGAGGACTACGTGTTGCCGGGCCGCGAGCAACAGTACCGCATCCATCCATTCTACTTGAAACAACAACCGATTGTCCACCTACAAGTATGTACTAACTAGCAGATCCCTCGGGTTTGTGCCTGGTGAATAACATATACAAATCTATCCCACGGGAACCGTACACTTTGTCTATGACCATGCTATTCCAGACTTTAACTTGTCTCTGTGCCAAACATCCAGATGCGTTCAGCCGTTCTGGCATGAAAAAGTAACCAACATCCATCCAGCCTCACAAACTTTTACATTTTATACCTTTTGAAAAACACCAATTTATTGGTTTCTATGTTGCCTTTGTCGCTTTTGATGGGATCCTATTTTTAAATAGTTTTTAAATTGGGATATTAGTATGGATTTATGGGATTGTATATGTATGAATTAGATTTCACTTTACTTCTAATAATAATAGTTCTTAGACTTTAAATTTTGGACTTTACAGTGTCCTGATCACGTCATCAGGCAATAATTTGATTCCATTAGGCTGATCTGATGATGAAGCCAGGATTTGATGTTGACGTAGATAATGAAACTCTAGTATGAGATCTATCTTTATATATATAATTCTTCTGTGAGTGTGTATGTCACTGAACTTCTCTCAAACGACTGGACCGATTTTGATGAAATTTTTTGTGTGTGTTCAAGGGGATCTGGGAATGGTTTAGATTCACAATTTGAATAATAATTTTCATCAAAAAAAATTATTAAAAAAAGTTTGAAATTTTCAAATTAAAGACGTGTAGACAAGACAACGTCTGTCGGGTCCGCTAGTTTGTATATAAATCTCTTAATTTGTTATTTGATTTGTTTAGGTTCCATATTGTGTGCAATTGGTCAAAAACGTGTTTTATTAATTTCATAGGTATTTTACAATGTATTATTATAATATAATTTGTTTTAAATACTTTTAAATATAATAACTAAAGTGTAACTAGTTCTAATTTTATTAAAGTAAAAATATTTTAATATATTACTGCCATCTACTGGTGGGCTTAAAAAACTAAGTGCTATTGAATAGCTTTTATATTGCTAGATGGCGCCACCTGAAATAAGTTTTGTAATAAACTAATATAATTTTGAGTTTCATTTTACTAACACTAGATGGATGTAATATGGATGACGATATTTAAATATAAACAAAAACAATACCATTTTGCTCGAAATTATACTGTATAATAATTATTGTAAATTAATGACACGTGTATGCATGCGTATTGCATGGCTATATAAAATATACATTTAACATACAATGTATATAAAAATCAAAGAGATTATTAATATTATTATTATAGCAGATGTTGATGATTTTATTTTATACAGAAAAAAAATATTTTAAAACCTTCAATAATAAATTTTCGCTAAATTTTAAAACTGTATATAAAAATGCAATATAAATATGTATTGATAACAATAACTTTATCATTATTAGTTCCGTAACGATGGTCAAGGACAGATATTGGCGTGTATGTGGCGAGGAGCGGAAGTATCACGCAGCTGCCATATAATAAATGAAAGGGATATTTATATATTCAACCTTACCGACCCGTGTCCTTCGCCAGAATTTTGTCTGCCAGCGCATTTTGCAGTAACTGCAATGAAAACACAAAACTTATGTGCACGTAAGAAATGTTCTTAATGATTTGTCACAATTAATAATAAAGATGCAATAAAATTAATTAAAAAGTTAAACACTAGTGAGATTAAAAATATTAAAAAATATTTTACAACCAAGGCCCCGGGGGGATTCGAACCCCCGATCTCCTGTTTACTAGACAGGCGCTTTAACCAACTAAGCCACGGCGCCGATATCTCACTTGGTGAAATTAATGTTCATATACATACATCTGTTGTTATTGTATTATAAAATTGAAATATTTTAATATATTAAAATGTTTAAAATATATACTTTATTAATAATAAAAATATAACCTAAGTTATTTATTACATATATATTGTAAGTTATTACTCATTAGACTCTTATTTGTTTGAAACAAATTTTAGGACAACAATATTCATATAAGTACCTACAAACATTTTGTTAACAACTTTCTCTTACTTTCCAAAAAACCTTTATGACCATGTTCCAGTGATTTTTTTATCGCATTATCATGTGTATAGATTATTGCATATTATATTTTGTTTTCGATCGCAGATAACGAATGTCGCCTGCCACATCAAGTGGGTTATTACATACAACATTCAGGTTTTCGATGCCTGCCGCTGCTCGGCGCCGCGGCCACTCTGTCGCCATATTGGAAAGTGTACATCGGACTTTCTCTCGTGATCTCATTATTATATTCACATTAATAAAAATATAATTTTTTCATTGTTGTTTTATTTTTTCACTTACATGTAACATTTCCTAATATTTATTATTATATGTTGAAAAAATGATTATGGTTATAGTTTAAAAATATGTATACGAACTTTCAAAAAATCCATAAATCTTTACAAAAAAATATAAACATAAATAATAAAAATTTTAAGTTTACCCCTGGTGGGACTCGAACCCACAATCCCCGGCTTAGGAGGCCGATGCCTTATCCATTAGGCCACAGGGGCTTGCGTGTGTAGTGCTCAATTTATACAAAACATCATTAACAATTGTTCTTATGTATATTTTTATAATAATAATATGTTATTATATATTTATAACAATAATATGAATTAACAAAATATCATATCTATTTAAAATCATATATAATTAAAAATCAATAAAAATGTATGTGTGTAAAATTTTAAAATATTAATTCCAATTATTGTTCTGTAATTCTAAACTATCAATATTTAAATGTTTAAATTTTAAAAAATACCTTCTTCATATTTAGAAGATAGTATTATTTTATTTATTTATTAATTAGTTAAGGATTTACAGTAAATATAATCGTGTATTGTTAAATAATTACAATACAAAACTATAAAACTAAATTGCCATCTAGTTGTCTGCCGACATGACAAGGTAGGAAAATAATAATTCGAATGACTAAAAAGTTCCATAAGGAGATGATAGAGTGCGCAGTACGATATTGGTTACTTTTATTAAATGATATTCACTGTTATGTTTAATTATTATTTTTATTTAACAGGAATTCAATTATAACAAATAAAGACATGAATCAATATTATTATTTTAAATAGATACTGTACATCAATTTCAAATTATATCATATCGACTCCGTGGCGCAACGGTAGCGCGTCTGACTCCAGATCAGAAGGTTGCGTGTTCAAATCACGTCGGGGTCAAATTGGTTTTTTTATTTTATTTTGCTTTTTTTTTTTTATTTTTGACTTATTTATTACTTATTATGCACTAGCAGGTTACGTCGGAATATAATACACTTTTTTTTCATCTTTATTTCGTTTTATAATTTCATTCTACTTTTAATTACAAAGATATTTTTTTTTGATATCTTTCAATAGCATATTTTAATCATAAACTAGAAATATCTGTAGCCAAAGAAACTGCTGAAAGTATATGACACTAGGGGCGGGCGTTGACGGTTTTACCTAAAAAAACATCGAAATCATCTGTAATGAAAATAAAATAAATAAATAACATTATATTCATAAACGGGTGTTAAACAGAGTCAGATGGCCACCCTCACGTTTACATACTTTATTTACAGTATAATTATTTGGTATGATGATAGCTGGTCATCCGGGTCAACATATAGGATACTTTTTACCGCGGAAAAATATCTCATTTCTGAGAAAAATACAAAAACTGCAATGTAAGAGTATACTAATATGTAAAACCTAAGAATTTGGTTTTTGGTCATCTAAACGCGGGCTGAGCCGCGGGCAATGCTAGATTTATTATAAGATGTTTTTAGTTTTGTGAGATGAAAATTGAAATATAAGTGTTACAAGCTTATTTTTTAATCGACTTCCAAAAAGGAGGAGGTTCTCAATTCGTCGGAATCTTTTTTTTATGTATGTTCACCGATTGGCGATTACTCGAAAACGCCTGAACCGACTTGGATTTTTTTTTGTTTCCAAGGGTATACTTCTCAGGTGCTCATTTATTTTTTTATCAAAAACGGTCGAGCGGTTTTTAAAAAAATAAACAATAAATTATTTTTTTAAATAAATTGCTTAATCGAATATGTTTAAAAAAAATTACACTAAAAATGGAAAATAAAAACTTAAACAAAAAAACCGACTTCCATTCACTAAAATGTAAAAATTAACTAAACGTGGGTTTTCATTTAGAATAGATACCTACCTAATCAGATATTTTCGAAGTTGGTGCCAGCCAACAATATTTTAAGATATGATTATTTGATAGGTAAATATGATTAGGTATGAACTCGAATTATACTTAGTTAAAATATTATACATCAATTTGTGATGTATTTTACGTATCAAAATATATTAGATTTGCTTTGCATCGGCTGGCACCGACTTCGAAAATATCTGATTAGGTATCTATTCTAAATGAAACCCCCCATTTAGTTATTTTTTACATTTTAGTGCCTGGAAGTTGGTTTTTATTTTTATTTTTTTATATTTTGTATGTTTACTAAGTATGTCTGTCATTATTTTTCATGGGTAGGTAAGTAGGTAACTTTTTTAAGTTTCGATACATTAATTTTATTTAACTGTAATGCAACAATGGGCGGTCTAATCGTTTAATTTTATTTTACAATAATAAACAAAAGTATACTTAAAAGTATGTATTCAATCTATTATGTAAAATATATGGACTTAAATAATTTTGTGCTTACTGATTGTATTTTTTTTCCAAAGTCCCCTTATTCGAGTTCCAAAGAAGTAAAATCTACGAACTCTATTAGATAGTACTAAACCTTTTAGAAAAGTCCTACTTGGCAGATAAATAAGTGGTGCGACAACGTGCATAAAGCTTAGCAGTTAAAGGTTCTTTCTGATCTTTCTGATACGGGATACCTAATATTTAAATAGCACACACACCCACTAAACTTGACCTACTGTTATTTTGGGGTATATCTTCAATCAACAATACTATGATCGAAAGAGGGCGTCGACTCGACCGTTGTACACAGAGAAATGCCTTACGAAAAACTATTAGATACATCTTTTATATGAAGATACAGTAAGAGATCGTACAAAATGGAATCAAGTACCTAAGCATTTTACTTTGCTTTCATTTGATTCATCCATCAAAAGTCATCGTACCAAATTTTAACATCACTTTACACACATAAATTGTACTAAATGTTGTCTAAACAATGTTGATTGAAACTGGTACAAACTCCAGTATATAATTTCCGCTTCAAGCCAGATTAAGAGTGACGCCAGAATTACGTTTTGTTGCTACGTTAGATAGGTATTTATTCGATGACATTTTACTTTAAGTTAGTAGATAACGTAAAAATGCACATGATACCTATTTATTTACGACTTTATAGATATACATATTATAAAAAAAATATTCCAAGCAATAATAAATTTATTTTGTGTAAAGTATGATACACTGTCGTTTATTTTATTAAGGCGACTTGATTGTGATATGGCAAGCGGCGTCATGGAACTGCGGACCACATGACATTATCTATCTTACTGGAAATCCATAATTTCTAAGCCTCGGGCTTGTACTGTAATAAAAAGCATTTTGGTTCAATTTTCTCTGTTATTAGAATGCTTTACGGCTTATTATACACTGAAATATTTTTCATATTTCAATCTGTGTAACTCGAGGTCGAGATGGTCAGGTGACTGGTATACGTGTCTGCTGGCGCCTTTGTAAACGAATCGCATTCTTCATGGAATATACATGCACAAACATCTATGTGTGCTTTTTTGCATAACTACAGCCAGTTACGTGCATGTATACGAACACGCCTTCCAATATCTCTGTGTGGGTGCTGAATTTGCGCGTGTTGTTCTGGAGGTCATACAGTGGTCATAAGCAAAAATAATATTTTTATGAGTTGTACAATGTTCACGTTTCTTTGTTTAACACTTATTAAAATGTTTTTGTCTGTACACGTGATAATTTACCACCTTTTATTTTCAGAGATAGGTATTTAACGAACTTGAAAAAACTCCATGAGACGTCATACGCGAAAATTTTTAAGAGGGTAGGTAATATAAGTTTAATATACATAATTTAATTTTTTTTTTTAAATCAATCAATTTTTCTTTTAAAATCAATCAATTTTTTAAAATTCATTTTTTTTTTTAAATATTCAAAAACCAAAGAAACAGAGAACGGGACTATTTAAAATTTAAATAGGCACATAGTAGGTACATACATATGTATGTATCTAGAATATTTAAAATATGTAAATGTACTTACTTCCACTTTCAGTCAGAGTAATATACCATGTTGTTTGTATAGTGAGTATTTAATCTTACTTTAGATATCGTCTAATCTATTTCATAAATCGATTTTTGTAATAACAATGTTTTAGTTATTACTTATTAGTTATCTACTTAAATATATGTAAAAATATCTACTTATTTTCAAGCCCATAGGGAATAATATGTTAGTAGGTAGGTACACATAATAGAGGTCATAAGTTCTAATAATAAAATATACATTAATGTGAAAGTAGGTAGGAAACCTATTACCCTATTATATTATAGGAAAATATTATTTAAAATCAAATACCTACCTACAATAACATTTCGTTACTTAGTTAGGTATACAAAGTTTAGTACAACTAATCTATACTAATATTGTATTGTATTGTACTGCTGGGCACGGGGCTCCCTTCAATACTTATACTTAATACATATTATAAAGAGGTAAAGTTTGTGAGTTTGTGACGTTGTAGGGGGTAATCTCTGGATCTACTGAGCCGATTGAGATGAAATTTGGTAAGAAGATAGTTTGAGACCCTGGGAAGGACATAAAATGCTTTATATCCCGGAAATCATCCCTTAAGGGAGTGAAAATGGGAATGAAAGTTTGTATGGGGAATCAAGCAAGGGACGAACCCGAGCGAAGCGAGGGTGAGTCGATAGTAAAATATATTTATTTGTTCTCACAAATCGTATTGTATATAGGTTAACATATGTATGTTCATATAATATAAAATGTAAAAATTCAAAAAAATATAATGTAAATAAGCAACAATAAGTTTTATTTAATCTTTTCTTTAACCTTGGTAACTTATACAGTATCAATCAATGGTAAATCAATGACGTCAAAACAGTTGACGCAGATCTAATGTTCACTAATAATTCTTTATTATTGTCGATTAAGTTTTTGTGAACTTTTCGGACCAATTGACCCTCGTTCTAAGAGGCGCGCGTGAGCGCGGTCACACCCAACATGATAACAATTTGCTATGCTCAATGCGAGTGTTTCCGCGTAT